ATGGATACTCGGGCCTAGACCAATAGAAAGATGAACAAGCAGGTAGTAGAGCAAATCAATCCTGAAAAGTTGCTGGATGCAAAAATGACAAAACTGAAGCTGTCCTATTTCAGGCACATATTTAGAAGTCAGGGTTCTCTGGAAAAGATAATAAAGCTTGGAAAAACTGAAGGCAACAAGAAAAGAGGAAGATCACATATGAGAGGAACTGACGCCATAAAAGAAGCCATAGGCATGATGCTACAGGAGCTGAGTAGGGCTTTGAGGACAGGACACTCTGGACGTAACTCATTCATAGGGTTGCCGGGAGTTGGAGCTGACTCAATGGCACATAACGCACACATATGTTTTGTATTACCAAGTTTGCATCTCTAGCCCAAGACATCTTGCACCTGCTCCCAACTTGTTTATACAAATGCCTGCTCCACATCCCCATGTGGATTCTAGGACAACTCAGCATAGTCAGAACTAACACTATTCCACATGCAGTCTTCCCTTCCTCAGTCGGTGACAATTTCATCTTTCTAGTGTTCTGGCCCCAAATCCTTGTTATCCTTTTTTTTAAAAAAAAAAAATTTCAGAGAGGAAGGTAGAGAGAGAAAAACATCAATGACGACGAGAGAGAATCATGTATAGGCCGCCCCCTGCATACCCCTCACTGGGGATCGAGTCCGCAACCTGGGCATGTGCCCTTGACCAGAAGCCGATGCTCTATCCACTGAGTCAAACCAGCCAGGGCATTCCTTGTTATCCTTAATGACATTTGTCTCTCACATACCACATTCAACCCACCAGGAAATTCCCTACCCTCAACATATCCAGAACCCTATCCCTTCTCCCACTTGCTTTGTTATCCACTGGTCAAGCTGCCACCATGTCTAGCCTGGATTACTGCTGTAGCCACCTAACAGGTCATACTGCTTTTACCCTTGTTCCCCCTAGTCTATTCTTAACACAGCAGCCAGAGGGATCCTTTTAAAATAGAAGTGACTTCATATTACTCCTCTGCTCAAAATCCTGCAATGACTCCCCATTTCATTCAAAGTAAAAGCCAAAGTTTACACAATAGCCCACAAGGCCCTTCGTGACTAATTCCCTCTGCTCCTTATCTTCTTGACTTTATCTCTTACTACTCTGCCCCTCACTCATTTTGTTCCAGTGACACTGGCCTCAACTTTTCCTCAAACCCTTCAAGCACACTTGTGACTTACAGAGTTTGCAGTGGCTAGTCCCTCTTCTAAAGAGCATGTCCTCCAACTGTACAGCTTAGCCAATTCCCTCACCTCCTTTTGGGCATTGCTCAAATTTCATCTTCTCCAGAAGGCCTTCTCTGATCACCTTACTTAATATATGGTCAACCCTCCCAACCCTCCTCTATTTCCAAACCCCCTTACCTTGCTCTATTTTTTCTTTTGTTCTATAGCACTTATCACTATATATATATTGATTTCAGAGAGGAAGGGAGAGGGAGAGAGAGAAACAGCAATGATAAGAGAGAATCGTTGATCGGCTGCCTCCTGCACGCCCCACACTGGGGATGGAGCCTGCAACCCAGGCATGTGACCTTGACTGGAATCAAACCCAGGACCCCTTCAGTCCTCAGGCCGACGCTCTAGCCACTGTGCCAAACCAGCTAGGGCAACTTATCACCTTTTAACATGCTCTATTTTATTTAATTAAATTTATTAGGGGTGACATTCATTGGTAAAATTAAGTTTTAAGTGTACAATTCTATAATACATCATCTATCTACTACATTGTGTGTTCACCACCCAAAAGTCTCATCTCCTTGTCATATTTTAAAAAAAATCTTTATAGTTGACAGTATTACATATGTCCTCCCCCCCGATTGACCCTTTCTAGTCTGTTCCCACCCAGTCACCATATATTTTATATATTTGACTCCCTTTCCCCTCTTCAAACTCCATCCACATCCCTACACTATATCTATATTGTAAAATATGTTTTTATTGATATTTAGAGAGAGAAGAGGGGGAGAGAGAGAGAAAGAAACATTGATCAGTTGCCTACTGTCTGAACCAGCACCTGGGCATGTGCCTGACCAGGAATCGAAGCAGTGACCTTGCGGTGCATGGGATGATGCTCAACTAATTGAGCCACACTGGCCAGGACCCATACACTATATATATTTTTTAATTAAAATATGATTTTATTGATTTCAGAGCGGAAGGGAGAGGGAGAGAGAGAGATAGAAACATCAATGATGAGATAGAATCATTGATTGGCTGCCTCCTGCACATCCCCTACTGGGGATCGAGCCTGCAACCTGGCATATGCCCTTGACCAGAATCAAACCTGGGACCTTTCAGTCTGCAGGCCGATGCTCTATCCACTAAGCCAAACCAGCTAGGGTCATACACTATATTTTTAATGCTTATTTCCTAGGTGTGTTTAGTGTCTCCCAAAGCAAGAATTTGTTCATTGAGGTAGCCCAAGGATCCAGTACAGTGTCTGGTACAGAGCTCAATAAGTACTTGTTGAATGAATGTATGAAAAATGTGGACAATGCCTGCTCTATAAAACTATTATAGGGATTAAATAACGGGCAAAGATCCTGACACCTAACAACGAACACCCAACAAATGTTAGATCCCTACCTCCCTTCAACAAATATCTTCCCCGGCTGCCTCCTCTTACAGCACTGCTCCTCCCCTCCTCTCTGGAAAATTTCACCATTCTAGTCTCTCCTTTTATTTTCTAATAAAAGCAGGTCTTGTCATTCACCAAGTTTGTCCAGTAAGTGCCGGGCAGTTTGTTAGTTAATCATATTATTTATTCTTTTTCTTTCCGCATCACCATTTATCCCCTCTATGCCCTCTTTCACCTCCACCCTTCCCACCTTCCCACTTTGATTTTAATCCAGGAAGATCTAACAAAAGGCCACAGATGTCTTCTGAGAAGAAAAGGAACCCTGGGAGACCAGCTTTACCTAGTGCCACAAGTATTTATCTGATTACCAAATTGTCACCCAGAGTAGTAGAGAGCCCTGAGGACACGGACCAGTAAATGTTTTTGTTGTTGGAGGTTTATTGCACTGATTTTTAAAGTAAACTTTATTAAGGTATAATTTACATACATTAAAATAGAATGTTTTAAATACAATTTGATGAGTTTTGACAAATGTACTGTAGTCAATTTGATTTGGGGTGGAGGGCATTAAGGTCACCTGGGATTATGCAGGTTGAGATTTAGCAGAGGGATCCTGGTTAGAAAAGAGAACATCAGGGCTCTTGGGAAACATACCCAAACTAGAGGCCCGATGCACACAATTCATGCAGGGAAGGGGCGGGTGTCCCTCAACCCAGCCTGCCCCTCTTGCAGTCCAGGACCCCTCACTCCCTACCGCTCACCTGCTTGCTGCTCCTTAGCGCTGTGAGCCCGGCTTATGGCTGAGCGGTAACCCTGTGGGAGTACACTGACCACCAGGGGGCAGCTCCTGGATTGAGCACCTGCCCCCTGGTGGTCAGTGCAGGTCATAGCGACAGGTGTTCCAGCATTGGGTCTATTTGCATATTAGGGTTTTATTACATAGGACTAGAGGCCTAATGCACAAAATTTGTGCAAGAGTTGGCTTTCCTTCCCCTGGCTGCCTGCACCGGCTTCCCTCTGGCACCTGGGACCTGGGCTTGCTTCCCTCCGGCTGCAGGCATATGGGACCTGGGCTGGCATCCCTCTGGCCACCTGCAGGCACCCAGGACCCAGGCTGGCTTCCCTCTGGATGCCGGCAGGCACCCAGGACCTGGGCTTCCCTCCCAGTCCCGGCTTTGTCCAGAGTACATTGGTCTAATTAGCATATTATGCTTTTATTATTATAGATTATATAGATAGGGAGGAGTGGAAACACCAAGGGCTGACCTGAGATTGGTCCTGGGGTCTCACTGCACCAGGATCTGGACCTACAGAATATCTGGCAACTTCCTGGCACTCCTTGTCCTCCTGAGGGAGCGGGCCAACTCCCTTTCACAGCAATTTCACGTGTTTAACCCTTGGGGATCGTTCCAGCCCTCCACAACCAAGCTTCACCGCTGCCACGACACTCAAGGGGCCCGATTTTCTCTCCATCCTTAGTTAGAAACTGGTTTCGGATCTGCATCAGTACCGCGGGCGGGCGGAAAAAAAGCAAAAGTGCTGCAGCAGGTGTTGGAGCCAGGAGTCCCCTTTTGGGTCTTCCATCCTCCCCACCGGGGGGCTCTGGGCAACCAGGCTCTCTCCCCCGCCCCTCGGCGCCTAAGAGCTCAGAGGCTGCAGGTCCCGCTTCACTTAGAGACAGAAACGCCGACTTCAGGTCTGCTGGGCAAACTGAGGCGGGACTGGAGATTCTGGGCGAGGAGTCTGAGGCTGGAACGGAGGGAGCCCCTGCCAAAAGCCCAGTGAGGGTCGCGCCAAACCAAAAAGAACCCGTGGGGGTCCCGGCGGGCTCCGGGCGGGAGGCA